GTGATAGAAAAGTGATTACAACGTAATGTGTGAGTGTGATCACTCAACAGTCAGTGATCCGCAACGGCACTTGGGTTGCCGCTGCGACAGGTGGCAGTGTCACGGTGGTAGTGTTGCAGTTATAATGTGATAATGTAGTGAGTGACAATGTAACAAACACAATATAAACTCATATTTTGGTCGTAAAAGACTTATTACTCTTATTTTGGTATTTTCATAGTCTTTACTCGTATTTAGAGAGTTTCTCTCATTTAATATTTTCACATTTAACATCTAAAATGACACGTATGAAATATTTAGTGTAGTTGACGGTTAAATTTGCGGTGGGCCAAGAATAACAGGCAGAGTGACAGGTAAAATCAACCACATGGACAAATGAGTCTAGCATCTCAATTTCTTATAACTACACACACAATAGGCAGAGACATCTCAATCTCTTTTACCCAAATCAACCCAACCCATGAACAACTAACTCATTTTGCTAAACCCACGTCCAAACCACCATAAATAATCAAATCCAGACCGAATTTGCTCTGATACTATGTAAAAAAAATTTAGTGGGTCAAGAGTAACAGGTAGAGTGTCAGGTAAAATTAATCACCTACACATAAAGTTCGGATCTACTTTATGCTCTTTTTAACTCAAATGTTTAAGCTGATAGGTAGAACATTACTTTTCTATATATGCTAATGATATTTTTTTATTTTTCGATGTAGAAATTCGAATATTGACAATCTTGAGTAACGATCAAAAAGTTAAATAAGTAATTTCTAAAAACAATATTAATAAATTTTGAACCTTGAAGAATTAATGTAAAATCACTCAATTCATATATTGTTCATGCAAATTTTTCCTATTAAAAACACAACAACGTGCAACTAGAACTTAACGGGAAAAAGAAGAACCATTACTTTTTTTAGGGAAAAAGTAAATGTTTTTAGAGTGAAACTAATTGTTTTTTATTGGAAAAAAATACCAAATTTAAGTGTTTTTAGAGTGAAACTAATTGTTTTTTCAATAACCAATAATATGGTAATAATTAGAAAATAAATTATTCTACAAAATAGAGCTAATTTATTAACTTCATAACTAACTACTCCCTCCGTTTGGAAAAAGTGTTCATCTTTTGACTTTGTGTAAAAATAAGAAAGTATTGAATTGTAGTTGACTTCCAATTTTGCCCTTGATGTGATAGGTAAAAGTAAGATGTGATGGATAGATTATTAGAGATAAAGTATGAAGTGATACGTAGGGTATGAAAAAGTAAGGGTAAAAGTGGTTTTTTAATAGAAAGTGGAAGTGTTTTGTTGGAAGGGGAAAAAATGAAAGAGAAAGTGTTTTTGATAACGGAGGGAGTACATTTTTTGTAAGTTTCATTTATTGTATTTTTATTGAGCTGCACTTCAAATTATTTTTTGATACTACATTATTATTATTTCTTAAAAAAATGGCACTGCAAAACTTATGAATATTTTTTGATAGTTCTATATAAATATTTTTTGTGAAACAACATTACAATAGTTGTGAAAATAACACAACAATTTTTTTCTCTAAAATAGAACTTTTATTTTTATAACTCACTACATTTTCTGATGTATTGCAATTTTTCCATGAACACTCTGAAATATTTATTGATAATCTTATATTGCAATAAAATTTTCTTTCTAAAATGGAACTACCCAATTTGTGTTTTTTTTAATAATTCAATACAAATTTTTCCCCAAAATAGTAATTCAAAAGTAGTGAAAATGACACAATATTTTTTTCTCCAAAACGGAACCCATAAATTTTATAAACCACTACAATTTTTTTATTGTAATCTCTTTCTTGATCAATACTCAGAATTATTTTTGATAATTCAATACTATATCTTCCCAAAACAATTAACAAAATTTGTTAATCGTTAGACAAACCTCTAACAAGAGTGTATTCTTATATTTTTAAAAATATTAATTTTAAATTCAAAACTAAAAAAGTAAAAAGTAAATTTTTCTAAAATAATCCCACCTTTCATTTATTTGCAAAAAACAGGCATTTTCAAAAACTTCCGTTAAGTGACCCTTAGTGTTTTAACGGTGACCCAAAACTCGCATACATGCGAAAAGGTGGGATTATTTCCGGTGACAGTGAAAAGTAGGATTATTTTTGAAAGAGCGCGAAAAGGTGGGATTATTTGAGATAATTTTTCCTAAATATAAAAACGGAAATTTTTTCACTTTTTTTCTTTTTCAACACAGTAATGTTATTTACGGTTCTATTAACTTAAAACAAACTTTCTTTATTAAATACACACGTTTCTTTGTAAAAAAAAGGGAAGTCTAAATTATTTTTTTCATGTCTTAAACAAAAATGAAATTTTAAATTTTATGTTTTTTTCAAGTCTTAAACACGAAAATACTCACGATTTTAAAATTTTAACCATATTTTCTTATTTTTTGCCACAAAAACAAAAAGTTACGCGTATAAAGAAAAAAAAGTTTCAAGAAGTTAATTTTTTTATCATCACCGAATACTCGACATATCAAACAAATACGGAGTAATAAAAATCGTGAAGGGGCCCTTTCATTTCATATTAATAACTTTTAAAATTATATCTTTTCTTTGTATAAATTATTTCCTTTTTTAATATGTTAAATCGGTGGGGTTCTAGTGACATCGGAGTACGGTGACACTCCGGTGCCACTGTCATTTTGGGTACCTCCGGTGCTCCGTTCGTAAAATTGATGATTCCTACCCCCACTCTATCCCGCCCCTGCCCCCAATCCCGCCGTAAGCCTCTCACAAAATGTGTGGCTATTATGCATTGGAGGCTTATGGCGGGATTGGGGTGGGGGTGCAGAGGCGTGGGATAGGGTGGGAGGTTTAGAGGGTGGATTAGGAGGGTAGGAATAATCAATTTAACGAACATAGCACCGGAGGTGCCCCAAAATGATTGCATAATAGTCAGTAGTTACACATTTTGTGGGGGGGCTTACGGCGAGGTTGAAGTGGGGGTGCATGAGCGGGGGTAGGGTGGGGGTTTAGGGAGTGGGCTTGGGGGGTAAAATTATCAATTTAACGAACGAAGCATTGAAGGTGCTCCAAAATAACAGTGGCACCGGAGTATCACCGTACTCCGGTGTTATTAAAACCCTGCCGATGTTAAATACTCCGCATGTTTTTTCGGGCATAAAAATTCCCCTTCAATTTTCGGGATTAAATATGCACGAATTTATGAAGTTAATTTCCTTGTTTTAAAAAGTTAAAACCGTCGTAACATTTACTCCGTATATTGCAATGATTTACTTTTACAAAACCGCATCATTTATACACAATACATTAAATTACATATGGATTTTATAACGTACGGAGTATTTTGTTTTTATAGAATGTAATACGGCCGTATTATTATACCGTGTATAATAACAGTAGATTAAATCATATAGGTTAAAATCGACGCTGCAGAAACGATAACCTTTGAACGGGAATGATTTAAAACAAAAAAACCGAACAAATGGTATATAAATAAAAATGGAAATTTTAAATGGTACCCTCTCCGTTTCTCGAAAGAGGAAGGGTTTTAAGAAACGGAAGGAGTATATAATAAAAAGATCAGGTTATTTTAAAAAATTGAAATAAAATACCAATAAAAGCTACCGAAATAGAAAATTCTGGAAAAACAATAAATTTTATTTTAAAATTAAAAGGTAGTAATTTAATTTGAATAGAAATAGGTTAGACATGCACAGTCTCAAGTCGTTCCATCCGGCCCGCCCATCTCGCCCTTAAAAATGGACATATCGGATATGGACAAACTACATGAACCCATCCACACTTAGGATTGATAAATCTTTATTCCATATGATTCTCCATATATATATATATATATATATATATATATATATATATATATATATTTCCTTTCATTACAAATAAAAGTTTCCTTCTAAAATGGATTATGGGATTTGTTGAAATTAATGCGGAATGGAACGACTTAGTATATAAGACACTCACCGGCCGGCCCCTTCTCGAACAACTCATCGTTATCACAATATATACAATCATATATCATCTTCACATACAAGCATTTGATTAAGTAAATATTATGATGGGTTCTTCAAAATCATCATCCCCTTTGACGATCCTCATCGTAATCTGCAACGCATTAATGGCGTCGCAGCTAGAGACGAGCAGCGCCATCTATGTGTTTAGAAAGGTGGTTAGGATTAAGAGTTGGATGCCGGGCCCGTACCCACTGTTGGCCCATTGTCGGTCCAAATCGGACGATCTGGGAGAATGGACAATGGCCTGGAACGCGGAGCAAGACATCAGCTTCAAGACCAACCTCTACGGGACCACTCTCTTCTGGTGTGACTTCAAATGGGCCACTGATACCCAGACCAAGTCCCAGAGTGTCCCTGTGTTTAACGACCAAGATCCAAACAATCCATGCAATGGAGATAAGGATGAGAAGTACTGCAATTGGATAGTCAAGCCCGACGGATTTTACAGGGCCGCCGGCAACCAAACGAGGTTTCCCGACGATTATACGTTCATCACTCCCTGGAAGTAGCTACCTAGGATCTTACGCAATGAGTGCAAGGAGGATTATTAGTTATGGGTTAGTAATTTTTCACTAAAATTTCGATGTGGGAAAATAATATAGTTATGCCATGAATTAAATTTAATAATACTTTAGTTTCATTTTATTTTTCTTATTTTTTTGCACAATTTTATTGAATGTGCTTTATTTTTATAATGACAATTATATTCGTTGAACAGGGACAAAGTTGATAACCAAGATATCACATCTTACTTTTATACATCACATCAGGGACAAAATTGGAAAGTCAACCAAAATTACACTTTCCTTATTTTGGCCCAATATCAAAATGGGAAGTGTTTAAAGGAACGGAGTGAGTATTTAATAAAAGAAACTTACCTAGATATGAGTGAAAAAAGTATGAAAATGCCAAAATATAAGCCTTAAGTCTTTTAAGAACAAAATATGAGCAAAATGTCAATGTAGTATAAAAGTACGCGTTGGCANAGTGTGATCACTCAACAGTCAGTGATCCGCAACGGCACTTGGGTTGCCGCTGCGACAGGTGGCAGTGTCACGGTGGTAGTGTTGCAGTTATAATGTGATAATGTAGTGAGTGACAATGTAACAAACACAATATAAACTCATATTTTGGTCGTAAAAGACTTATTACTCTTATTTTGGTATTTTCATAGTCTTTACTCGTATTTAGAGAGTTTCTCTCATTTAATATTTTCACATTTAACATCTAAAATGACACGTATGAAATATTTAGTGTAGTTGACGGTTAAATTTGCGGTGGGCCAAGAATAACAGGCAGAGTGACAGGTAAAATCAACCACATGGACAAATGAGTCTAGCATCTCAATTTCTTATAACTACACACACAATAGGTAGAGACATCTCAATCTCTTTTACCCAAATCAACCCAACCCATGAACAACTAACTCATTTTGCTAAACCCACGTCCAAACCACCATAAATAATCAAATCCAGACCGAATTTGCTCTGATACTATGTAAAAAAAATTTAGTGGGTCAAGAGTAACAGGTAGAGTGTCAGGTAAAATTAATCACCTACACATAAAGTTCGGATCTACTTTATGCTCTTTTTAACTCAAATGTTTAAGCTGATAGGTAGAACATTACTTTTCTATATATGCTAATGATATTTTTTTATTTTTCGATGTAGAAATTCGAATATTGACAATCTTGAGTAACGATCAAAAAGTTAAATAAGTAATTTCTAAAAACAATATTAATAAATTTTGAACCTTGAAGAATTAATGTAAAACCACTCATTTCATATATTGTTCATGCAAATTTTTCCTATTAAAAACACAACAACGTGCAACTAGAACTTAACGGGAAAAAGAAGAACCATTACTTTTTTTAGGGAAAACAAAACATACCATTAACGAATTAAATACGAAATACAGAAATACAAGCAGGCGGATCGGACGGCCAAACAGAGGAACAATTGTTTTGTTTGTGCCATCGTTCAAGACTAAATTAATTAATTCTTAATTCCCCTTTAACCGTCACTAGTGCTTCCGAAATCCAAGTTTCAACTTTTGGTTTCCAAAGATACTTCGCAAGTCACTTAGTAGTTTGGTGGCCCAAATATTTTCTAAATTTCTCAACCACTATCAAAAAGGTGCAACAATAACATAAAGACCTATTTTATTGTACTACGTAAGACATGAATAATTAATCTATAATTATTCCATAATGAAAAGTTTAAAGTCATAATGTACAATTATAGTTGTGCTTTGACTGGTCTTCCTAATATAATTCTAAATTTTGACAAAATATGGCCTATGATTTATATTAATAAAAGTATTTTTGAATTCGATTTTGGCCCAATTGAGAATATTATACCTTTGACAAAAACCAAAGAGATTTTCAAAACAATGATTTTTTATTAAAAACTTATTTTTATAGATTGGTGTCGAAGAGACGAGTCCAACAATACAGTTTATGAACTAATCTGATTTATAAATTTTAAGTTATGCCGTTTTAAATATTAAAATTTATAACTTTGACCCATAAATTAAACTCAATTAAAAAGTGATTTAAGATTGAAAATCTTATAATTTGACATTTGACAACATCGTTTTCATCATTTAGATTTAATCCATATTCTTTTATCTTATTCTTATTAATATAAGGAGTAATATTTTATGATTGGGACACGCCCGAAAGCTGGAAAATTAAAGTTTTCAGAAAAATATTTTGAATAAGTCAAAATTCTAATTAACTTTGAGTGTCTAAGTCCAAAAATGCAATTGGTGCGAAAAACAGATATGTTTTGAAAAATATTGAAAATTAAAACACAAAAAAAAAAGTTAATTACCACGGAGAAAAGTAATAACTTTTCCTTTCACACAAAAAAGTTAATTACCCTTGATCATCATCCTCACCATTCCACGCAGCAAGAAAGAGATAGAGAAGAGAGTTGACGATAAGGATACGCCGTTGTGATCGCAGTGAAGAGTAGATCGAGCTAGGAGTTCAAAGTTGAAAAAATCCATGAACTTCATGTTCTTAGCTACTCCCTCCGTCCCATAAAACATTTCCCGTTTCAAAAATGGCACGCCTTTAAAATGAGTAATTTTAATGTTATTTTTTAATTATGACTAATCTATTCTACACATCTCATCATACTCTTTTATAAAGTAAGGGCAAAATTAGAAAATAACACCAAAATTACTCATTTTAAGTGCGCGCCTTTTTTGAAACAGGAAATGTTTTATAGGACGGAAGGAGTAGTACGGAGTAATTCATGACGTTTTCCGGAAAACGAACTAATGGAGATTTACGGAAAGTTCGTTTTTAAGGTAACCAAACTCGTACTTTGACCTTAATTTTCGCTGCCATAGACTCACAATCTCGACCTTGTAAGTTTATGTCTTGCGAATCCATAGCTTCAAATAGTTTGCGTTGAGAAAACAAGAGAGATATGGCCAAAACACGACAGGCAGACCAACTGTGATGGGAACGATGAACTTGGTAACAAGAGGGCAATGATGGAACCATACCCAAAGGACATTGAGTCAGAGAAGATGCAAGAATTACAAGCAATGTTTGATCATCGGTACTTTAATTATGTCATGATTCGATTATTATTGTACTTCATTCCGTTTTACTCTGAAAATATTTTTTAAATGGGTCACGACTCAGAGTCTACAAATTTAACATTTTTAAGTATTTGTCATTTTCAAATGTCAAGCGATATTTTATTTAGCACCGTTTTCACCTTAATATGAGTAATTCCAAATTATACCAGAATATGGAAGTACACTTTGACATGATCGCTAGACAAAAAATGTTTTTGATTGTCTACGAGCACACCTGCCCAACACTTTCTTATTGCTATTAACATGGATGGGATGGACCAACATATGTCAATGGTGGAGTACCATTTTATTCTTATGTATCAACTCACAATTTCTTTATTATATTTTTAGTTGATGAGATATATATATCATGTTTGTCCCAATGCATATTTGGATTCATTTTTACTTGGGTTTATGTCGACACCTTTAGGTTCCTCGTGCAATAGGTCGTGGAGTATGTAGCATTGTAGCTTAGTCGAGTCCAACAGGTAATGCATAATTATACTCTTTTTGTCTCTAAAAAATTATCATAGTTTAATTTTTTTGGTCAAACTGTGGCATTCTTTGATCAAGATTATAAAAAAAGTTTATTTAGTCATAATGTAAATTTAGTAAAATTGGGTTTATTTTAAACATATAGTTTTAAAACATAAGATTTTTATAATATTTAATTATTTTATACTATGTTTAATTCATGGTTAAATTAATTTGACCAAAAAAGTCAAACTATGACAATTTTTTAGGGATGGAAGGAGTATATGTTACGACCCTGTGATGTGCAAGCTATAGTGAGGGAGTATATGTTATGGCCCTTTGATAAAAAAATGTCAAACTGTGACAATCCAGTTGTGCAGCTTGTTGCAGCCTTCTTTTTCGATGTATAAACAATCGTCACAAATATTAATGTTAAACATTCAGTTGTGTAAACAATCGTCACAAATATTAATGTTATAGTTATGGAAAATTCTTTGGCGACCTTTACCCCATGTTTGGATGGGGTGATTTTAGAGAGAAAGAAAATGGAAGGGAAGAAAACACAATTTCCAATAAAATTTCACTTGTTTGTTTCGGAAAGAAAATGGGCGGGGGAAGTAAAGAAATTGTCAAAAGTGCCAACCTAAAAACTTTTACCCTCTCAAGTGGCGAGAAAATCCACTCATTGAAGAGAAAACGCGTGAATTGACTGTTTTACACTTTATTCCATCATATCCAATAATAAAAAAGTAAGGGCAAAAATGTTTTTGCTTTATCACCTTTTCTTTCCTTTTACATTTTCACATCATTTTTCACTCACCCAAACAACAATAATCTCCTTCCCATTTTTTCTTCATTTTCTTTCCTCTCTATTTTCTTTCCATCCATTTTATTTCCTCTCATTTTCTCTTTTTATCCAAACAATGGCTTAGTTAACACTAATTTTATGGATCTTAATACATAAAATAGTAATATTAATGGAACTCGATTGTAAAAAAAAAGATATTTAATTATGAGTCAGTAAACAATATGTGAGACGGTCTGCATTTTATACGTGGATCTTGACATCACAATAGTACAAGTGTACAACTCTATATTTATATCAAAAATTTTGATTTTTCTTGCAATGTCACAAATTCATACTTCAAGAGAAGTAAAATACTCCGTATTCACTTAATAAAACCACAAACTCAATAAACACAAATAAGTTTGTATTATTCATAGAGTTATTGCCCACTTAAACTCCGATTCAGTTGAAAAGGTAATTATTCACTACACATAACAATTCATTCTTAAATTCGGACCAGACCGGCGTGTAAATCAAGCTAGCAACGAAATGCTTTCAGAGTAAATTGCAGATTGAAGATGAAGAGCAAAAGTCCAATCATACCTCTCCAGCTTCTTGAACGATCCGCCATTAACGTTGTTGTAAGAAACCAGCTGGTTTCCAAGATTGAACAGAAACTGGGTCCGATCATCGGACATATACAGAACAGACACGTGGCCCCTGAGATCGCCGCAGCCGGCGAGGGAAACGGAAA